AGTGAGACTGGTCAGGTGTTTCTTTATGGAATGAAATTTCTTAGAATTACCCTAATCACTTATCTTTTACAGCTATTGAACTCATTTTCAATATGCACTTCACTATTATATCCCTAAGTTGCTAACCAACAGTTCGACTGCTATCATGATCGTAAATGTGAGCTGTTAAGAAGTTCCATGCTTGAATACAACATTTTTCCAGCCATCTCTGGATTTTATTGATTTTCTATCTAGTTAAAATCAATCAACGGCGAACAATCTCCCCTAATCATCTAATGCTCAAAAAAGAGGAAACTTTTGGGAATGTTAGATCCCCAGAACTCGCTTGATAAATGCCTCATTTTGGATTTCACTTTTGCGAGCATGGGCTGGTCAGTTGACCTTGAGATTTCATTTCCCAATAGGAAAATTAATCTCTGTGATTGGCTGCTGTACATTTTAGTGTACTATTTTTGTGATTGTTCCAAGGACGTTCTATGATGTATAAATAGACGAGAGTTGTGTGCTTGATTGCATTGTGACTGCTGGGTGTTGTAGAATATACTTTTTACGCTTATCAAGACTTCTGTTTTGCAGTTTGGGATTCAGATAAGCCTACCTAGATACTGGTAATTGTCTCGTTCGCGTTTTGTCGACTAAGGTGAACTCGTAATAGCTTCAAGCATACTTAGTGACGAACGTGACAGAAACATAATTGTAATGAAAACATAAACAACAGAAAGTAATAGGCATTTACTTTTTGTTCAAAAAATTCATTTTGTTATTATTTAGCATTTATTAATTGGAAAAAAACTGCTTCTCTCTCTATCTGCCTCTCCTTTAAATAGTGAATAGTTGGTGACTGACCTTTTTAACAGTCAGTCAATTGAAAAACATCTATTCAATGATGTATTTCTGTTGTTTTTTTCCAGTTAACCATGGCGTCTTTACTACGGGAATGAACTGACTGTTTGATTGACTGATTGATTAGCTGATTGGTTGACTAATTGACTTAGTGTTTGTTTATTTCAAAATATATTTGAAAATTGTAACATTCATGTGAACGGATTTATTTTTTTCCTTTCCTCTCTTTTCTAATGAGAATTCTTCATTGATTCACATGAATCAACAAATAAATTTTGATTAAATCAAATCAACTGCTTACTTAGTTTGTTCACACTTTTCAATGATTTATTTTCTAATTGTACATTTTGTTACAATATGCGTTTAAATTTTTAACTTTATTTTATTGAATTTAATTATTGTACATAAGAATTGTAAATTGTTTTTGTTATAAAAAGTGTTGAAGAAAAAACTTTCTCAAACTTATACCATTATCAAATTCAATACGAAACAATATTAGAGTTTCGTTTTGCTGTTATTTATCTTTCGACAACGTATACACCGTTTACTTCAGAATTTAGTGATTCTATACACAATGTCAGAAGTAGGGGAGAAGAAAATTACGACAGAATTGGTCAATCATGATGAATGATAGCTAATTGAATGGTGAAATTGTTATCGTTGAAACTAATAACGTTGAATAAGCATCAAGTTAAAAAAAATGAATCTGAACGAAAATTCTAGTATGTATTCATTATGAACTATCAGTTATTCAGTTAAAATCAACCTTTCACAATAAATATTTTACTACTACTACTACTACTACTACTGTGGTGCGCTCTACTTATAAGTAGTATATGACGTGAGTAAAAACGTAATGTCTGGCAGCAGAAGATGGGGGAAGATCAAGAAAGGAAGAGCGGCAACAGAATGGGATGTGTATGAAACGCATGAACAGTGAAATGTCAGACAATGGATTGATGTTTGCAACAGGAATAGTCCAGTGCGATATGATGGATTGATATTTTGCAAATTAACGATTTACGATATGGTTTTTCTTTTTTACTAGTTAACTCTGTAATTTGAGGTAAATACAATTCGGTTGCCCTCACCTGTTTTCTCCTTCACTACACTACTACCACTGCTAATACTACTACTACTACTACCATAGTTTTAAAAGTTTCAGAAATATTCACTCACTAATCGTATCTGTGGTAAGTGTTTTTTTACCTGTCATTAGTATCGGAATAATTACAAAAATATCACGAATTGATTGAAGTTTTAAATGTTTACCAGTGGATGTTGTCATAATAGTTTAAAAGTCAAGAGCTCCTTGTCAGGCTTGAATGTCTTGGATTTCAGTTGCAGATAACGACTGCTGAGAATTCCCTTGCTAAAAAGAAATATTAAATGCACTGATTGCTGATTTTCACTGATTGTCTAACTGTAGTCAGCACCTGATATGAATTATGAGATACTCTAACTTTTTGGATTTATTCATTCTTTTTTTAAAAATCCTTTAAATCGAAAGAATACTATTTTTCTTTTCTGCAACGTTTGTTTTCTTAATAATTAACAGCACAGTTCCAGTTGTCAAAATACACTACTTTGAAGTGAGTTCACTGTGTATTTCTGTTATCAATCTCGATTCAGACGTGAGAAGTAGAGTACATACTTGTTAGCTTTAATAACTTATAGATCACATATTTAGATTCAACATATTTAACACTTAGGAGACATTTTAACTGCATAAAATTATCTTATATTATTCAACTAGGATCTCATTACAAACTGTTATCAGTTGAAGAAATGTTAAAAATTGAAAAAATTTTCACTAACTATTTTGTTTTAGTTTCACTCAGTCTCCAATCTCTTTGTGTTATATAACAAAAGAGAAAGCTTCTAAACCACTGAACTATTCAACAGACAACAGTTCATATATATTCAAATTTATTTAGTTTCCTTTTAATACCACGATTTTCGTCCACGGTTAATAATAGTTGCTTACATATTTTCCAGTTTGTTTAAACAAGAAAGCAATTTAATAAGCATTCTACACAGTTGAATTGTCATCTCACTCTAATGCAAATTACTTGAAATAGAGATTAACATTGGCTCAATTGTCTATTGGCTAAGCACAAAATCTAAATGTCCTGAATTCGATTACTGGCGAAGTCATATATATATGTAACTCTGTAGTTGCGTACAACGAGAAAATAAGTGTGCTTTGTTATCTAACGTTCGGTGAAAACGCTAATCGACCTGGATCTTTGACCATTACTTACTTACTTACGCCTTTTACCCTTGAAGAAATACAAACCCTTTGACCAGCGCACTCTCCAACCTACTCTTTCCTGAGCCTTCCTTTCCAATTCCAAACCGAACTACTTTTTATTCTGTTCATTATCTACTACCAATTCTCAACAATCACTACTCATAAATAATCTGTAATCTAACATATAAAACAAATATATAGTGTGATATCAAATAAATTTACTAAAGAAAACAATATTTATATTTTATGTATATAAGACATTTTCCTTTTTAACAACAAAAACAAAAGTAAGAGAAAAACGAAAAACAACCAAACAAACGAAAAAGGAAAATAAAAGAAAGAAGCAAAATAAGTAGTTTGTTTCAATTTTTTTTAAAAAAAACAGTGTAAATGTTTTTGGACAGTGATAAAAAAAAAGAAATGAACAAATCTGTATTCTTTTCTATTATTATTGTCATCATCATCATCACCGCCGCGGCCGCCGCCGCCTTCATCATCAGAAAATCTACTCACTCCTACCTATCAGGCATAAGTTCATGCATATGGAAATCGATTTCACAATCAAGTATGAGATTTTCTCACTTGGTGCAACAACTAATCATCATCAATAATATCAAGTGTGGAGTTATCTCTTCTTTATCAATAGTGTACTCTTCTTCTTCTTCTTCCTCCCGGATTTCATTATCTCCTCATTGTTATTCATAAGCGCTGTTGTATATGTTGCTAATTAGGCACATATTAACAATTCAATATAATAAAATTTTTAAAAAAAAACCTGCTAATTTGAAGATTGCATTCAATTTTGAAATAAGAATAGAATAGAATAGCATTTTATTTTTTTTTTCAAAGTTTATAAATAAATACACCAACAAATGAAATTCATTAACTAACAACAGTCAGTCGTTCATGGTGTAAACAAAAAGTTTTTGTTTTTTTCTTAAAAAAAAAGGAAAAAAGTAGTAGCAATACAAAGAAATCATTTTTTGTGTACATTACGTCGAAAATTTATTTGATTTTTGAATTTCTCTATTTCTTTCCGCTCCCTCTATCTCTCTCTCTCTCTCGGTCTCCTTTTTTATTCCACACACAGAAGAACAAAATAAAATTATCATTAAATACTTTAAAGAAAAATTAATTTCATCGCTTTGTGAATCTCTTTTCAAGTGTCATACAAATACATGACTCCGTATTGCTGTTTGACAAATCATATCAACACACACACACACACAAAGACTCGAACTGAATAAAATCAATAGATTGGAAAAAAAAATGGCATGTTGGCAAAATTACAAATATTATCTCATATTATTATTATTAATAATATTATTATTATAACTATGAAGTGAATGGATATAGTAAAGTTTGAAGAAATAAGTAATTAATATAAGCCAATGTACATATTCACTCTCACACAAACATACACACACACACAGTATCCATATGCAGATAAACTGAGAGCCTAAATTGAAACAGTACACATGACACCTCTTGAGCCGATGACAATGAAACCAAAAACAAACAAATGATGAATACAGAAAGAAAGAAATAAAGAATGAATGAAAATAAAGTAAATAAAACAGCTTTTATACAAATTCATTTCTTGCAGTCTTTATTGCATACAATTCAATTAAATTATATACATTGAACAATGAACCAGTCAATTCCAATTATCTGTTTTAATTTTTTTGCTATTAAACACCAGTTGTATTCATTTTGAAGAAGATACCATTTATGAAAGTATGAGTAAAGATAATGTATGTAAGATATCCATCTCATTCATTCATTCGCTTATTGTTAATACTATCGTGTTTGTTAATCATTGAATGATATGATTTGTGAATAGTAACAATTGTATAGTTTTATTTTATTTTATTTTTCTTCTTCAACATTCCAACATGTCCATTCAATCACCAGTTGTACCATTAATCATATGTTCTTGTTCAGTAGTAGTAGCAGTAGTAGTAGTAGATGAAGAACATAATAAGCTTTTAGATAAATTTGATATACCATCGATTAATTGTTCATTAGACAATAAAATATCTGAATGGGATTGTTGTTGGTGGTGTTGTTGCTGATGATGATGAGCATGCTGATGATTGTGCTGCTGCTGCTGATGCTGTTGAAGATGATGCATAGACGATCCTGTACGTGGTGATCGACTGATATTTGTAGTTGAAGCAGATGCTGAAACTGCAGCTGCTGCATTATTAAGTAGATTATTAAATTGTGTCGAGAATAATAACGATGAATTCGGTGATAATACAGAAGTTGGTGATACCGGTATTGTGGCGGCTAATGTGGATGGACATCCAAGTCTACCACTATTGCCTACACCTCCTCTATTTGTGTTCATATTTACACCAGCGTATACAGCTGCAGCTGCAGCTACAGCCATTGCTGAAATAGCTGCAGCTGAATCAGATGTATTCGATGATTTATTCATGGATAAATTATTTTGTTGAATTGAAAATGGATTTGTAATCAAGGAATTATTATAATGACAAGATGTATTTGCTGTGGTATCATTCGATGAATATGACATTTGTAACAGATTAGAGGAATTATTCATGTTATTGTTGTGATTGCTATTATTAGTATTATTATTACTGTTATTCATATTACTAATATTAGTATTGGCAGTTAATGTATTAGTAGTTCTTCGTGAATTCGATCTTTCTCGATGAGTTTTTTCATTTAATGAACTTTGATTATAATTAGATTTAGTTGTTGGCACATATTGATTTGATCCAAAATTATTATTATTATTATTATTATTACTATTATTATTATTACTACCACCAGTATTTGATGTAGGCGATGGAGGTGAAGAAGCTGACGATGATGATGCACCTCCTCCTCCACTTGATGTTGTAGCATTACAATTTTCACTGGAAACAGTTTTAAACACTCCTGATTGAAGAACAAGTCTTCCTTGCATTAATGGTTTCACATAACGTCGTCTAGCATTAATAAACCAATTATTCACTGTTGTACGAGATAAGCCAGTTTCCATAGCAAGCATCATTTTCTCTTCTTCTGAAGGATATGGTTCTCTTAAATGATCAACTAACCAACCGAATAAACGTTTACGTGCTGGAAATGGTAAATTTGTTCTAGATAACCCAACAGCCCGTCGAATACTGAATAACGCACCTGATCCAACACCGCTATCGTTAGGCGATGATGAGGATGATGATGATGAAGGTCCAGTTGTTGTCGGTTGTGGTGGTGGTGGTGTCGATGACGAAGTCATCAATGTAGTTGCATTATTATTGGCTGATAAATTTATTGATGAATTCGCGTCTGATTCTGTTGAATTTGAGTCGCCTAAATTATTATTATTGTTTATCAGTGATTCAGTGAGATTTCGGTGATGATGATGATGATGATGATTTCGTTTTTGATCATGATTCATGGTAGGATTAGGTGATAGATTGGATCGATTAGTTCGCCCACCACTACCACTAAGATTTCCAATTCCTGTTTTAACACTATGAGCATGATCAGTATTATTATTATTATTATTGGCATTGATCATATTTCCAATGAAATTATGATTATATGATTTAGTTAAACATTTAATTTCATTATTTTTATGCAGATGAGTAGTGTTCATTTCTTTGTTTGGGGATTGACTATGTTTTATTGATTCTAATAGATCTAAAATATTTTAAAAAAAATCAAAATTATAAGATACATGAATAAAAACAATTTATTGAAATGTTTATTAATTTTAAGTAAATTGATTAAAGGTACACTTGTACTCTGTTGAGTATATCAATTCAATGATTCCAATAGTTAATCATTTTCACCTTGAAAGTTGAATGTCACAGATTCAATTCCTAATGTTGTCGTTAGTGCACGCTGCTTAGAGAAGAGACCCATACTAAAACGAAACAACTGTCTACTGTTTTTCAGTTTTTATTTTTAGTATGGGACTGACGAACGCGACGTACAAATTTATGGAATACTTAAAATGTTTAGATGATATCTAAGAAAAATTATAGGAAATTTATTGTAGATTAATTCATTAAGTAGTTTAAGTTAGCGATTCATCATGTTATTTATTTAAACAGAATATCTTTACAACTATGTCTGCTTATTGTGACCTTTTAAAAAGATATGAACAATATAACCTATAATGTAATTGTGAATTTATCAGCCAACAGTCACAAGTTTTCCTTTTTCTTCATAAACTATAAACTTGTATTTCCATTTAAACCCGTAACCATGGATAAATCTATAATTCTTTTTTGTGTATTCAGTAGGTGAAGATAGTTGAGAAGTTGGATTTTTTGCTATCTGTCACTTGTCAGCAAAGTGTATGTACAGTCGTGGGGAAAACGACACTTTCTATGGGATCCGAGCCAGTATCACTCAGGTTCACAGAGTGAGATGTTAACGGTGAGCTAATCATACTGCCACTGACCACCTGCTTGGTTTAGTATGAAACCTAAGCTTATTGTATCTTGCCGATAACCTCTTATATTTATCCTATTGAAGAAGTCGTAATCTGTTCAACTCGATTAATTGTAAAAGGACTAAACACAAACGAAATTGGTTGATATTTAGTTGTCAGTAAACTGGAAATCAAGTAAACAACTAAATACTTCTGATGCAGTTCAAAAGTTTATGAAATTTATTTGCTGTATTCATTCATCCTATTTTAATTATTATCAGTTTAGAAATTGGTGACAATTGTTGAATTTCATAGTTTACTTCATAAATGACACAAGTTAGTCAATCATTGAAAACTAGGAAACACTGGATATGATTCGACTGATCTACCTCTCACACATCAGTTTGCCGAATGCATAGAACAAGTGATTAACACTGCAACCTAATCTATTCACTGCTAAGCCAACATACAAGCAGTCCAGCGCGAGTCGAGATGGAGGCCTGGCAACGAACCCATGAATGCTACACCAAACCGGATCACTTCAACAGTATTAATGTTAGAAATAGGAACAATAACGAAGGCAGAGTGAATACATAGAGCAACCAATTCTTTGTTGACACGAGTATAGAAAACCAGTGTCATATACCGAGTCATCGCTCTGAATAGATCAAGGAACCCGAAATTTAGGAGAAGAACATCATAGTATACAATAAGCTAAGTACTCCAGTCAAGAAATTAAGTAGGGCTGATCAAAGCCTTAAGGCAAATTACACTAGGAGAACCAATCTACTAAAAAAATTCCACTTAATTTTAAATCGATTTTATCGATTAAATGGTAGACAACTGCAATCATCAATGGCACAAAGATGATCGATCATGTTAATTTCATTAAAAACTAATTTTCAATGTATTTGTCATATTAAACATCTAAAAGTCGTTTGCTTTCTTTTTTCTGACATACAACATGTTTACTACCCTAAATATTATTTAATAATTCATACTATCAATTCGATAAATTGCTCTTTCATCGTAAACAATATCATGAAATAACAACACAATGTGACTATATATTCACAGTGTGAAAAATTGACTTTTTTTTCCAAGTTTTATTTATCATCAATGTACGTATATATTTCTATAGAAAAAAAATGTCATTCCATCTTATCCTTCCTCTTATTCATCAAAATTACAAATTGATTGATTGACTAAATAGACTAACTAACTAACTAACTAACTACTAGTGACTTCGTTGAACAATGTAAACAACTTAACTCTGTCAGTCAGTAGTCAGTTAGTGTTAGTCAATAATCATCTAACCTATTTATGGTTATGTGTATGCATATATATATAGATATACATGCATATCTCTTATATGACAGACAGATACTTACTTTTATTAGTGTATATAGAATTATTGAAAATAAATTTGGGTGGCATCTCTTATTTCAAAATTTTTATAGACAATTACATTTTTTTTTGGGGACATTTGGCAGGCAGGTAAACAGGCAGGCAGGCAGGCAGGCATGCAGGCCTGCAGGAAGGCAGCTGTCTGAACTTTGCTTGTCTGTACACACACACACACACACACGCATACATATTAAAATTTATTTTATAGAGAGGTGATTTTTAACGACATTTTTGATTGACAGGCAAAATGTTATCCCTTCAATGAAATATGTATAATACTTTTCTATGTGTAATTGACAGACACACGAACCAAGTTGACTGATTGATTGATAGAAGGAGATGGACAATTTATGCATGAGTTTTTTTGTGTACATTTGTACATATGCTCATTCGTTTGAAAAAAATAATGGATATTATAGAATATATGTATATATTAGCTACAATCCGTGAAAAATATGGGCATGAATTCTGTTTACTATCCTATTGAGTGGTGGAATACCCTGTCTCTCTCTCTCTCTGTTTCATGCTTGTGTCTTTCACACTCATATTGTGTCGTTCTATGAAGGAGAGAGAGAGAGAGAGAATGATTGTTAGAGGGAAGAGTGAATAGATGGATGGATGGATGGATGGATGATTGATTGATTGACTAACTGAACTAACTGAAATAGATGGGATAGTAGTACAAGCTAATTGTGACTAGCTCACTACAACCATGTATACATATATGTAAAGTAAGCTTCGTTCAAAACGACGAATAAAATCATTGAAGTAACAAGGATAAAACATAAGCAGAAAAAACAAACAAAAAATTACAACACATTAAGAAGAATGGTTTGTAGTAACACGAACATGATGACAATAATAATAATAATAATAATAATAATAATAATAATAATGACAACAAGAATATTAGAACAGAATGGAAATTTTCAAAAAAAAAAAACAATCGTCACAGTAATAAACACTAACCTAAAAGTGATTGAATGAATGAACAATCTCAAAAACGGAAAACAATATAACATACAGTTTTATTAGGAAATGAATGAATGAAATCACCATAATTCCTGAATAGATAAATAGCTAATGTTTCAAGTAATCCAATCTACCTACCTACCTACCTACCTACCTATCTATCTATCTACCTATCTATCTATCTATCTATCGATCTATCCATCAATCTATGTATCTATGTACGAGTGTAAATACATGAATATGAGTGTATTTGTTATTGTTACTGGTAATTCACAATACAAAAAATGATTCATTTTTTTTCACAAACGCACGCATACACAAATTAACATTTGATTGACATTACGTTGATATGAAAAGTCATTGATGTAGTTAGTAGTCAATATTACATAGAAATTCAAATAAAAACAATAAAATACACGTATAGTTTTCAACAATACAAAACACCGAAACAATACCATATTACTCTATCTATCCATACACTTAGAGATAAGGGGAATATGTGTAAAAAAAAATAATACAGTAGAGAATTATGAATATTTATATAACTGGGAGAAATGTTCATCATCATGTTCATTTTCTAATCTTAACTAACAAATATTATCATGTTTAGTTGTGTTGTATGTTATTTTTTTCGTGACAACAATACAAGAAACTTGATAGATCGATACACAGTTTCATTATTGTGTGTTATACACTTGATGACATAACACAGTAATAACACATTTGAAATCATCAATCATTCATTGTTAGACCACTGTAAAAAAGCCCAGAAGCACTGGATGGCTGTTTCGTCCTGGCATAGGACTCATCAGCAGTGCGCATCCACGACTCCTGCACCTCGCGGGATTCGAACCCGGGACCGTCGGTCTTGCGCGCAAACGCCTAACTTAATAACAATAACACGGCAATAAAAGCTAATTTTTTAATTTTGTCATTCAGTTATGATGAGTGTATTAACATGAAACTGATAGAATGAATACATTGATTGATCAGTAATATAAATAGCTCGAAATGAAATCAAACACTAGGCATTGATTACTGATGGGTTATTTTTTCTTCGATTTGATTAGTAGGAGAATCGATAATCAACAAACACTGTTCAATGATTGATTATTTTGATATCGATTGGCAATGAGAATTTTTTTTACAATTTAAAATGAAATTTTTTTTACAATAATTTAAGTTTTATATCGAAATAGGTTTATAATTTAACATTCTGACATAACTACGACAATGATCATGGTAATTTGTAAAGAATAGGCTGGTAATAATATTCGAACAGTATGAAACAATATTTCAGGTATTGTCAGTTGATTGATCATTGAACATGGTCAACTAGCAAATATCAACAGATGATGGAGAAAATTTGTATCTTTGGTGGATCCAGCTCAGAGAACGAAATACCATCATAATATCAACAGAATAACTATTTGATCATTGATGAGCATAGTACAGTTTACATAAACTGTACGCAAAAAACTTTATTCAAATTTGAATTTCGAGCGTCAACAAGTTATTAATTAGTTTATATTGCATTATTAACACTTTTATTTATTTGTTTATATAAAACTAATCAGTCATTGCAATAATCATATTCAATCAATTGAATATTGGGAAAACAATTTAACATACTATTAAAAGGTAAAGTGAAGTCATGCATCGATCAATATTAGACCACCATTGGAAACTCATAAGCACTGGACGACCATTTGGTCCTGTTATGGGACTCATCAGCATTGTGCACTCACGACCTCCGCATACAGGAGTTAAACTCAGGACATTCAGTCATGCAAGCAAACGCTTAACCTCTTGATCACCAGACCGGTTTCCAATAGTGTTAATGTCTAACTTCAGTCAATCCAAGATATTGCACGACCATCAT